GCACCAATATCTCCTGCTCCCTGCAAGCAAGTTCTTGCTAGGGTTGGCTCCTGCTGAGATACTGCCTGGCTCTTGGTGGGTGTGTCTGCTTCCCCCCCCCCACACACACAGGCAGAATTCCTGCTTCCTAACTGGGCTCTTCCTCTAGGTGGCTTGTACTGATGAAACCTTTCAGTGTACATTCTTCTCCATCCTCAAGTGTCACTGCTTCCTTGGCACACAGAAAGCCCAAGGCTTCATGAAGCTCTCTGTGGCACCGGTAGTGCATGGTGCTGCAAGTTGGCCTCAGCAAGCAGGTCCAGTCTGTGTCTAGCATACCCGTAGTTGTTGGGACCATGAGAGATGGGTCTCCTGAGGCAAACTGTTCCCCCTGAATCCAGAATACCCTTGTACACAATGCAGCCCTACATCCCTCACCAGAGGGGCATCCCTTAATGACACTGATAAGTGTGACTGAAAGACATTAGTGCTGGCTGAGATCAGAGACAGATTCACTGCATCCCTGTAATCATGTTCCTAAAGCTGGACCCTGTGTTGGGGATGGCATGGCATGGGCTAAGAGGCATGTACCCCTGTCCCATAATTGGGTGTCAGGAAGCAGTCAGTAGGTTAGTCACATATGTGATGTCACTCTGGATAACATCACTGTGCTCATGATCCAGGGGACTCACTTGAAAGAACTAACATCCAGGACAGTGGCCTCTGGTTACATTTCAGTACAGAGGTACCCGTAGCAGAAAAGTATTAGGAAGACACGGCCAGCAAATCACAATTATTTTTAAGAAACTATAATGTCCTGAAGGGCAGGGTGGTATGGAGAAAGGTAGAACTGGTTTCTATCAGCTTATTTCCTGCTATGTGATAACACTCAGAATGTGCATTTCCCTGTGAAAGGACCTGAGCACATGGGCTTATGCACTCTGGGATGAAGGCCAAAGACACCTTGGTGGTCCAGGCATCCCTGGAATTCAGGTTCCCAAGAAGCAAGACCCTCATGTGACAGGGCCAACCTGGGGCTCACAAACACATCAAACCTTTGACCACTATGCAGATGTTCTTCCAATATCGTGAGATCATCCTTTGCCAGGTCTATGTGGACATCCTGAATAAAGGTCTGGTCCACTGACTGAGTCAGAACAAGATTAATGCTACAGGACCTCAGCCAGAGGTCTAGGAAGCAGATTGCTCCATTTTTATTGGATTCTGGCCAGTCAGGTGGGACTATGGGAGGTTTGGTTGGTCTAATCAAAACAGCATAGAGGAATCCAGATGAACATCAGGCAAAGACTTCTACCGATTTCAATGAAATCAGTATTTTAATACAAGGAAAAAATAACAGTATGACAAGTTCAGCAATTACATCATAATTGTTTTTGCCTCTATTCCAGTACATGTTTGTGAATAATTTTTTTAGAATCTCATGCCTTAGATACAAATAGTTTATATCTTTAATGGTGGTAATGATGGGCTTGATAATGAACACATTATCTTTTTATGTTATGCACTTGGTATAAAAGAGCAAGCCAGGTGTGGTAGATCATGTGTTCAATCCCAGCACTTGAGTGACAGAGGCAGGAAGATTATGATGCCAGACTGTTCTACATTGCAAGTTTTATAAGACAGTCAATGCCACATGGTAAGAACCCGTCTAAAAAATCTGGGCCCAGATCCAGCACTTCGAGTTGGTCCACCCCAATATCTACTCCATCCTCTCCATCTACAAGCTACTGGAGCATGTGGAGGAGCCAATGCTGCAGAACCAGACCCAGGCCCATGTCACCACCATTGTGGATGAAAACCCGAAGCAAGGCTGAGATCAAAGTCAGCACCTGCTGCCATGGAGCAGCTCTGAGGAGCCTGAGAGATCCATGGAGTTTCTGAGGGGATATGAGGTGGTTGGTGGTGGAGGAGTCTGCAAAGGCCAGTGTCCCCAGGGGGGGGGGGACAGAGAAAGGCAGGTCCCATGAGAAGATGCTTTTGAAAAGTGAATTCATGAAATTGGAAGGAAAGATGGCAGAACAGAGCTGCATGCACAGAGGAGAATGGTGAAACTATAAACTCGGTGACTCAGTGGTCCATGCTGTAATTAGAAACCACATGAAAGTCCTGTGCTGCTGCTGACTATAAAGGTTAAGAAAGCTTCTTTTGCAGTGGTATCGATGACAGCAGTCTCACAGTTGAGAATGAATGACATAGAAGATTTCTATGTCAACCTCTCCCTGCCCCACAAAGAAAAGAAACAGTCTAGATGGGAACTTTAAAACTGTGATAAGAATGCTGAAGTACAGCTCTTCACAGTTGATGGTGTCTGGCAGGGGTAGGGTAGGGGAAGAAGTTGTTTTTGTTTTTAAAGAAAATAAACTATCTTTTTTTTCATTTTACATAACAAACCCAGTTCCCACTCCCTCCCCTCCTCCCATTCCTCCACCATCTCCCCAACTCACCCCCCATCCACTCCTCAGAGAGGGGTAAGGCACACTGCTTTGGGAAGGCCCTCCCTACTATATCTAGGCTGAGCAAGGTATCCATCCAAAGAGAATGGGTTCCCAAAAAGCCAGTACTGAAACAGTTTACCTGAGCTAATGGGAGCTCACCAACTCCAGCCAGACAGGGAACGAACCAGCATAGGACCAAACTAGACCCTTTGAATGTGGTTAACAGTTGTATGGCTGGGCAGACTGTGGGGCCACTGGCAGTGGCACTGGGATTTATCCCCACTGCTTGTACTGGAGTCGGTTACTTTCAAGAGACTGGCCACTGGGAATTTGTCCATGCTCCAGTGAGTATATGGGTAACACAGCTTGGACTTTGTATTTTTTTTCCTTTTTTTTCTTCTTTTGTTTTGGGGGAGGTCACAAGAGTGGAGGTGGACCTGAGAGGACTGGGAGGTAAATGTGATCGGGGTGCATTGTTGAAATTTACAAATAATTAATTTTAAAAAATTAAGTTAAGAAAAAGAGGGGAAAAAAGAATTTCAAGGCAATGGTGGGTTCTAGTCAAGTTTACAGACTAGATAGCAAAAGAAGATAATTTTATGAATTAATGTAATTCTTGAAAATTCACAGGGAAGTGACTCAATGGTGAAACTGAAATTTCTCCCCCTGAAATCTATTCTCATATACCATACTTGTCAGTATGTGGCTGAGAAGCAGCCCGCCAGCCTGATATACGTACCATGGTGCTGTTTGCAGTTGTACAGCACACAGAGACCAGCTCCAGACAGTGAAATGTATTTGTCATATCCATGGCAACACCTTTGAGAAGCTGGTGCCCACTTGCCACCACTCTTCCCTCTGCTAGCAAGCAAGCAAGAACCTATTCTTTAATCACATAATAATCAGTACAATGTCATACACTGAGGATTCTTTCTGGACTGTACCTTGGAGGGGGTGATCCTGAGGGACCAGATACTGGAAGGCTGTCTCTGATTCCATGAGTGAAGGGAAAGGTAACATGAAAACTCTAGTGAAGGATGCTTAAGGCACCATGAACACTGACTTTATAACTCAAATTTCTGTATCACCCTGAGGTCTCTGTCCACCACCTCCTCCACTCCCTGCCCAGGCTACCCTCGACCTCTGTTCCAAATTTGGAACCACTCACCTCCAATAGACCAAGTCCCCAGCTGTCTCCTTTCTCATTGTTTCCCTGGACATACTCCCTATGCTATCAATAAGCCGCACACTACACAAAACATCCCCAACCTACTTGGCTAGACTGAATAGGATACATAGGGGAAAAAAATCTGCTTACTAGTGCTCTGGCTGTGTGCCCAAGGCACTGATACAGCCTGTAGACCAAACCGTCATCCAGTATGTCCAGAAAGGCCTGACAAAGGATGCTGTCTGTATCCTAGTGCCCTGGATCCTCCAGAGTCTGTCAAGACATCTTACTAAGGCCACAGGTATGAGGCATCTATGAGTCAGGTAGGAGTGCATCGCCTGTGGCTCCTACCTCTCCATCACCAACAAGGCCACCAATGACTCTGTGACTCCAGAGTATCCTCATCCTTCATCCCCAACTGCAACAGCATCTTGGTCTTCAGCATGCATGGTTGCTCACCCTCTTTCTACACCCAAGAGGAACCCACAGTCTCTCACCACCTGAATTCATCCAAGCAGGAAACACAACTGGGCAGACACCCCCCCACACACACACACACACATGCACACACACACGCACACGCGCACACACACATACACACACACACACACACACACACACACACAAGGAAACACAAGAGCAGCTCTACCCCTGAAAGCACTCATGGCTTCACTGAGAGTATAAATACATCTCTTCCACGTGACAAAGGGTGAGCTTGTATACTGGGCTCCAAACAGAGTCTGCTGCTGTGACCAATGGTTTCTATAAGCCCACCCCGCTTGTGGAAAAGCTATCGAACTTACTCTTTAGTCACATTAATCAGTATCACTAGGCCATGCCCAGCTGAAGAGCACTGAATTGTGTACGAAGGTGTTGTGGGTCCAGGCAGAACCATTTGGGCGGGGCAGTTGTGCAGAATCATCATAGCAGGCTCCTAAGATGTCAGGGATGTTGAGGACACTGGTCAGTCAGCTTGAGCAGGTTCTGTGAATACCCAGGCAGCACCACTCACCCACTCCTGTTGCCGAGCTGAGCTTCCCGAAGCCTCAGGCTTGTTGGGATCAGTGCCACTCATGGGTGGGGCAGCTTGGAAGAAACCTTTATTGGAGGATCCCATTAGTACAAGTCCCTGGGGAAGGTACTGTGTGAGAGAGCTGTACTTTTTGAGCTCTCAGAGACGCCCCTCCCCCACCCGCTATGCCCCCATGGCCCTCCCCGTCTGAACAGAATGCTACTTTAGCAGGAACCAATCCTCGCGAGATCTTGTTTGCACACGCGCAGTTGGCTTCACGTGCTGTTCCCTGTATAAGCCCGCTGACCTTGGCACAAGAACTTCCTTGAGAGTGGTAGGGTTGTGTTAGTGGCACGGGTTAGGGTGCTGAGGGGAAAGCCAGAGTAGTCATGCAGGACCCTAATGAGGGCCTATATGGGAGAGCAGGGGCTGAAGAAGGCGAGGATGGGCAGCAGAGTCCTCAAGCTCCCGAAGCCCAGCCTAGCTCTCAAAGTTTGGCAACCGAAGGTGACTATGGCACCTTCCCTCAGAGTGGCCCACAAGATTCCAGTAGCCCAGCTGCTCCTGGTAGCCAGGCTGCTCCAGGCAGTCCCAGCCCAGGGAGCCCTGTGGGGTCAGGTGCAGCTGCTGAAGAGGCAGCTGTCATTCCCCACAATGAGCACCCACCACTTCCCCCAGGACCCAGCGGAGATACTGCATCAACAACAGGAAATCGACTCCTGGAGTTGTATCCTTCCCTAAGAGACCCTCGCCAGGGGCTACTAGATCATAGGGACGCTAAAACTAGGGAAAGGCCAGACGGATGTGGTGTGGGTAGTCCAGTGCGCCAGTTGACATCCTGACAGGACAAAGAGACTCCTTGCCTTAACGGACTGAAGGGTGTAGAAAAAGGCCCGAATCACTGGGGAGTGGGGAGGTGACTGGACTCTGGTGGCGAGAGGGCTCATTGCCAGGCAGGCCTAGGAACTGTATCTAGGCAAAGGGAAACTAAGTGGTGGATGGTGCCTTAACCTTATCTCCTCCCAGCTCTGTAATAATGCCTTTCAGGTCTGCAGTGGAGGCAGACATGGCCCGCAGGTCCCTGGTCTCCACTGCCCGTCGCCAGCAAGTGATGGTTCAGCAGGAGTTCACAGTGAATGCCACTGCCTTGTCCGTGTTAGTATTCCAAAAGCCTGGAGTAGGGGTGGCCTCAGGGTTGGGAGGCAGTGTGTACTCTAGGGGTGTCCTAATGGAGACACTGGTAGATTTAATGTGAGTGGGAAGGCGTGGTATGGTGGACCTGAAGAGATCCCCCATCATTTCCCTGATAGTGTCTGTTTCTCTCAATTTTAGTAGGTGGACTACTGAAGACCCTGTCCTCTTCAGAATTTCCATCAACACTTTCCTTGACCAGCTCTCCCTGGTGATGAGAAACATTCAGCGCCTGGAGTTTGTGGCTGTTGTCAAACGAGGACGAGGAAGAAGTCGTGAATCCTAACATATTACCAGATAAAAGAAAAGTCATGGGGGTTTCATGTTTTGAGTAATTGTTATTTTGCCCCTAAAAGTTCAGTGTTTCAATACTGTGTGACACGTATTAGTTGCACGGTTGGATTTTTTTCCCGGTTGCTTAAGGAAAGGCAATTTAAATGTTACTGGACAAAATAGAATTTAGCAAATATTTTTCATCTGACTTTACTTTTGACTATGACAGAAACTGCCAGGTTTTCTCATCTGTGTGCTTCTGTGGAGGAGAAGTTCTGGAATTTAAATGCTTGAGTAGTACAAAGAAATTTAAGGAAAGTTAGGAGATGGAAGGAAACATAAATTACTTAAATATATTCTTTGAGTATTTAATTGGTCTGGTTTTTTTTAGCATGCAATGTAGCTTATTTCCTTGTGGCGTTTTCATACATACCTAATTTTTTTATTGGTCTTTTCCCTTCTCTCCCTTTTTTTCACAGCTATCCCCACTTTAACCCTATCATCTCCTGTACCCTTCCTTTCTTTTCATATCACATGTATTCTGACACCCTTCTCTGTTCTCTTCCATAAAGCTTTTTTTCACCTCTGATCTCTAGTGTGCACTCTAGGGTTGCACTAATGGAGACACTATAATAACAGTAGTTATATGCCTACTTTTGTTTCTGCTGGCAGTAATTTTGACTTTTTCCCTACTGAAGTTAAATGTGTCTCAGTTATTCTTTGAGAGCATACTTATATTTCTGAGACAATATGCTTTGGCTCATTTTGTGCTTTCTCTACCCTAACCATGGAGCCTATCAATTCTCTAATAAACTCCTTTCTCTTAGAATGTTACAAAACATCATCTTCCACAGCACAGAGCCCCTCATTGGTATCTTCAGCTGTGAAATCTCCCCATTAATGCACTGATTCCCAGATAGTGTAATTACCTTTCACTCTAGCTCAGATATAAATTCCTTACAATCTCTGTGATTCTACATAGCTACAATGGCCCCCACAGTGTTCAGCAATCCTCTAGAGCAGCCATTCTCAACTTCCCTAATTCTACAACACTTTCATACAGTTCAAGTTGTGATGACCCCAACCATAAAATTATTTTCGTTGCTACTTAACTGTAATTTTACTACTTTCATAAATTTTAGTGTAAATATCAGTTATGCAGTATATCTGATACATGACCCATGTGAAAGGGTCATGCAGCTCCAGACCCACAAAGCTGTCTCAACTCACAACCGAGAACCTCTGCTCTAGACAATGGTGATGGAACTCAGCCCATTGTGACATTGTAACCCATCCTGAACTCTTCTTTCAATCACACAAATATTTAGAGCAAGTTTTCTTACCTTTTTCCACATTTGGATCCCTTTCCATACATATATTTACTATGGAATAAATCTTTAGAATCCATCAGGCCAGCAAGACACTGTCATTCTCACTGAGTATGCCTTTCTCTCATAGATCTGTGAATCCTCAAAATCTTTCTCAGGCAGGACAGTGCTGTGCTCAGCAAGGAACCAATCTTCGTACCAGTCCAACTCTTTTCCCAATGTCCCTGCTCTCCCCTGAGGCTCACAAACATAATGGCTTTGGGAAGCAGAGCACAAGGGATAGAGGTAGGAGAGACTGGCAGGAAAGTCTGCAGAGTTGCTATTTTACTAATGATCCCATATTCATATCCCATGATGACTTCAGGTGGCAGTTGTCTTCCTTGCAAATGTCCAAGATCTTTGATAGTTTTCTATGTGTCTTATGTCATATTAGTGTATGTGCACATGGGTGGAGGTTCTGCACAGAATCAAAGGTCGGAGGAAGATGCCAGGTGTCCTGATCTATCATCTACTCCTTATTCTGTTGAGACAGAGTCTCTTATTGAAACTGGAGATAGATTGGCAGTCAGCAAACCCCAACTAATCACATCTCAGCCTTCCATAGTGCTGGGGTTCAAGACAAATGTAGCCATACTAAGCTTTCCCCATGGGTGATAAGGATCCAAACTCAGATCTACACACTTATGTAGCAAGTATTCTTACCCACTGAGCCATCTCCCCAGCCTCTTATTTGCTTTTATAAGGTGTCTCAGATTTGGTCCAATGAGATGACTTGGCAGGTAAAGGTGCTTGCCGTGCAAGCCTAACACACACACACACACACACACACACAAATTTTTAAAAATGCCTCTGGTTTGGGTTGACAAGACAGCTCAGTAGGTAAAGGCACTTGTCTCCAACACCGATGACCTGAATTCAATCCCTAACAAGTACATGATGAAAGAGAACAAACTCCACACACATTGTATTCTGACGTCCACACACATGCCATGTTATGCCTATGTGCACACATAAAAGGTCATTTTTTAAAGTCTCAAGTTTACCTTGAGTAGATCCTGTCTCATGACTGAAATAAGTCATTTCTCTCCAAGAAGCCCTGATTTCTTTCAGTGGGAACATTTCCAAAAAAAAATCTGTTTTTGTTTTTTTAATGGTGCTATGATAAATTGTACTTATTTGAATATAT